TCTGAAGGCTGTCTCTTATACACATCTAGATGTGTATAAGAGAAAGGCACTGGTATTTGCGCTTCTGCAAAATACTGTGTTGTCCCACAAACAATTTAAGGGGTGGGCCGGGTATTAGTCCAATAATAGAGACTAATAAATGATGTTTTTATAACGTTGAACCAGCGATTTTGGTAGTAGTCTTAGGACCCACGTCATAGCGTTGATTAAAAAGTAAATACATACTGTAAAACTTAAATCTTAGTTACTATTCTTCGATTGTTCAATTTTAAGGTGGGTTACTGTTACTAAACCTGATGTAGGCTCTTTAGTAAACCCCACCCACCCACTCCCAGCTTTTCGCGTCAGTAATTCTATACGAGTAGAAAAAAAACTTTGATTTATTTATTATTTTTTATTTATAAACTCATTTTAAAACTGTCAGATACTTTTATCAAAGTGGAGGCAATGGGGGGAAGAATCCGTGAACATGGACTCGTGGTTCCTGGTCGTTTTTAGCTACATGTCGCCGAAGGAAAGTCGAAAAAATATTGTGGGGCGGTATAAAATAAAGGGGAGACCATTTCCCCTCCCCTGAATTATAACAACATTTTTAACCAGGCTAGGGTTGTTAGTGACATAATGATTTCATCGAACGATTTGTAGTGTCATCTGTATGAGTGTTTCCCTGTTGGTACTTGTTTTAGTGTGAAAAGAAGTGGATATTCTGCCCCGTAGCCAAGGGCATGTGGGGGGGGGGGGTGGTGTGCGCAGGGGAGCATGCTCCTCCTAAATGTTTGATCCCCCAAAAAAATCAAAGTGATAATTATAGAAAAAATAACAAATGAACAATATTTACAGCTTTAAGTTTATATAGGCCCTTCTAATACAACCTCGACTACCTCGATCCGACTAATTAGGAAAAATTTCCGTACAACTACGGAAGTTCCATAGTAGGCCTACGTGAGAACTCTGATGGCCAAGGTGGTTCGGATAACATAGATAGTGAAACTTTACTTGATTTACCTACTTAATCTTTTTTAATTAACATTTCGCTTCCTTATTGTAAGATTGAGAAACGCATAATATCAAATATTTCATTTTTTAACCTGTCTTCATTCACTGAACTTACTTTGGAAAAAGTAGAGATTTAACTTGTTAAACGATGAGTGCAAATCGTTATGAAACCAGTGAATCTATTATGCCTTTGCTCGGACACGCACCGGTTGTCCATCAAACACGTTATACTTTGGGCCGAATTAAAACTTTCATCATTATAGCAGTGATAAAAATACTTCAAATTGGTCGATCTACATACCATCGTCCTAGACTCTGCCATAGATGCTCTCCATGTGACGACTCCGCTTTACATGAACTCATCAGACTGAATGCGAGTTACGATGACCATACGTCGCTTCAAACAACCTGCGTAGTCTGCGAGAGCCTAAACTGGGGAGAAATGGGTCAGGTCATACCGATGGACGTCACTATCAGGCCTCGTAAGTTTTCTTCTATATTTCAACAGGCATTTTGTATTGTCGTTTGTCGTATAAAAGTCAAAGTTCGGTTATACAACTTAACAATTTAAAATGGGAGACTTCAGGGGCGGATCCAGAGATAGGCCTATCTGAAGGGGCGGATGAGGTGAGAGAGATCAAGGAACAACATACAAGGGGCTTTTGTTTTCTAGACGCCCGTAAATAACCTCCGAGGTGTTTTGGGCTATCAATTTTTGTTTTTCGTGTTTTTCTTTCTTTTTTTTTTTTCTTTTTTTATACTTTCCAAAAGTGGGAGGTGGGGGTGGCCCCATAAATCCGCCCTGGTATACACATCTAGATGTGTATAAGAGACAGGGATTTTAACACTGTATATATATATATAGATTAAAAGGCAAAATACTGGAAAACATCAATGCTGTGGGAAACAATGGCTGGATCTCAGTAGAGATACAAAAATGATAAGCAACAACTAAAAAGTAAACGTAAGTAAACAGCCAGAAATAGAACCAGAGCTTTCGGACTGTATATATATGTATATATATGTCTTAGAAGTTAAGCTATAATAACTAACTACTCTAATAATAACCCGTACTATTAGATTCACCAAAACTATAGACAAAATGGCATTCAAATCAACATTTTTGTACGGTACTCGTTTTAACACGATTTACTCCTTAAAATAGGAATTCTTCACAATGTGATTGCACCACTAATATTCTTTCTTCAATTTACTCCTTTGTAATTTTCCTTAAAAATCCTTCTCACAATAAGGATATTCCAGTACATCCTGTAACAATATAAATATAAAACTGTAATTATTTTATATTATTTTATCAATCTTTTTATATGGGACGGCTATATATTGTAATATGTCACTGTTAATGGTTTTAGCCTCTGTGCTGTTTTGTAATTATACTATATTCATTTTGAAAAGGGGGTTTAGAGGGTACCACATCTTGTGTTGGGCTCTCAATCCATGGTGTCATCTTGGTACCGCTCTGGCCATTTTCTGATTTGTGATTTTTATTCCAAATATGTAAATGAATAATAACTGTTGTGTTATGCATAACAAATCTCGGCAACAAACTATGATGAATCTCGTATTTTTTTTTTTTTTTCTTTTGTTTCAGATGGAGTAACTCGTCGTTGTTGGTGCTGGGCAGTTAGTGTCTTCGGCTTTCTATATCTCAGCTTAGTATTTGTGTTAATTCTGTATGATGCAGGAGTGTATTTTAATCTTTGTTGGGGAGAAAAATCTGAGCTTCTATTTCTTGTTTCGTACAATACGTATATACTCCAACTAATAGTGGTCCCATTTATCTGTATATGGGGCCGATTTCAACCTAATTATTTTTTTCATGAGGGTTATATAAGAGATAGACTGCGGTTCTTAATGCCAGGCTTGCATAATATCTCAATGTTGGCCTTAGTGATCTGTTCCTTGTGGCCACTCTCTTGTGCCTGCCTCAGATTCGGCTATGACATTTCCTGGGTATATCCTCTTCCAAAGGCCGAAGTAGTTCATAGAGTAATCGGCCGTGGGACTGCAATTGTTGGCTATGTTATGTATGGTTGTTTCTGTATCATCATCTACGTCATCAAATGTTCGTTAACGCACGAGTGTAGACTAGTAGTCAAGTTTGTATGCATTGATTCAACAAGTCTCAACTCATGCAGAAAACGAACAGATGAGATGTTCAGGGATTTTAAGAAATTTCGCGACTTCACAAATAAATGGTTACTGTTTTCTGCATCTATCGGCCTAATAGGTATTTTTTGTCAAATCACCTGGAATTACCATATGAACAAGGAATATATGGGTAATCTCTACAGAATTCATTCAGTCTTATGGAATGTGCTTATTTGGGATCAAAAGATAATGTTCGCTGTGTTACCTTTCATTTGTGTCGGGGGTCTCAACGTTGAGTATCTTTGGCATAAACTTGTTTACGATATGTCAATGCTGAGGATCACTGAGAGGGAAAAATACTGGAAGAAAGTCATCAAGCACGTAAAATCACTGAATTTCGAAGCAAGAAAACCGGATATGATGTTTTTGTTTACGTTATGCTCAGTTTACATGGGACTGCAGCTTACGACAAACCAAGATCTACGTATTGTAACATTGCTTAGTAATGTTTCGATGAGCCTACCTGGACAGAACAATACATGAAATTAGCTAATTTTACTGGTAGACGGTAGACATCCTGCGTAAAAAAAATGTTCCTATTCGAGCATTTTGTTATTAGGTGCATTATTATTTATATATTTGTTTATATAAAAATAAGGCATGTGTAAAATAATTATATTTCTCTCTTGCTTTGATACTGAACTAAAAATAATAAAATTATTAATTACTCCTGTTTCTGCTACCCGTTTATAAAAAGTGACTCTCCATCGTGAATGAGTGTAGTTTGTGTCAACTACATACTCCAGGCTTTAATGCTTAATAGGACAGTTTGGGAACATGATTTTTTGGCAATAAAAATGGGTTTTTATTTTTTAGTTCATTATTTAAATATTTGTAAGTATAATTAATACAATTGCGCAGATTGAAATGTAATATTTTTATTCATTAAAATCATTTATAGCTTATTTACTGCATTCGGTCGAAATATTGGAATATTTTAAAATAGCCAAAATTGATAATAAAAAAGTTCATAATGGAAATATGAAACTACAGTACCTTTTCTTAGCCGCATTAGATCAGGACTATAAAGTTAAAACAAAACTACCCACAAGCATAGATTAAAATGTAATATTTTCATTCATTAAACAAAATTTATATAGTTTATGTAGATTTACTGCATTCGGGTAAAATAAATAATTGTTTTAAAATAGCCAAAAATAATAATAAAAGTTCATAATGAGAATATGAATCTACAGTAAATTTTCTTAGCCTCATTAGGTCAAGACTATAAAGTTAAATCAAAAGTAGCCACAAGCTATTTAATAAAAAACTGTGATATCTCGAAAAATCTATCAAGATACGGCTTTAGGCCTAAATTATAAACGAGTGAAAATAACGATACCTGCAGTATTTCTGAATTTCTGAGGCACCTGGTGTTTGAATAAAAAAATTATTATAATCAACCAATAATTAGGCCTATAAAAATCATTTTTATAAAGCGCAATATACATAGAGGATGATGCAACCGCAATGTGGCGATAAAACCAGCAACCCTTATATAAACCAGGAACCTCAGTTCTATCTAAATACATTTTGGTCTTTAAAAGATAATATGGGATTCAGCATTAAATGGAACATAATGAAATACTCATCCATAAAGAACGCCGCCTACGGGCGTGCAGCATTTGTCTAGATGAGAAGATGTGCATCTTAAATGCAAATGAAGCTAATCTGTTAAATGAAAGATCTGAACTAATATCCAAATGCCGCCACTATAACAATGGGAAAATCTACCCAGCTGATGATTGAAAGCTATATATAGTCTCTTATACACATCTCCCCGAGCACCCAACGAGAAGCCACGTCATATTATTGCAAAATTCCTTTACCGACCTCAGCGATTCCAGGTGTACATTAAAGCGAAGACGTTACTCAGAAACAGCAATATTTTTGTAACCGAGGATCTTCCTGAAGCGGACTTGGTGAAAAAACGAGGCTTAAGGGATGTTATGGCTAAGGCATACAAAGAAGGGAAGAGGCCCCTATTCCGTAATGGGAACCTCTACATTAACGGTCAGCTGTATAAATAAGGGACTCACTTTCACCGTATCATGTATATAAGAACTTTGATATGGAAACTGTTCATATGTATCTGCTATGGCGGAGTAAACTATAGTTACTGACATGCCAATTATGATAAACGTATGTATATGCATTTGCTTATTTGTTTGTATATTTTATTTTAATTTATTTAAGGCATCAAAAAAAAGTTTTGTTTGCTTAAAACTTAATATAATAATAATTCAAACTCAATGGAAGATGACATGATACATTCTGATTTTGACAACAGCATCACCGTCACTCCTGCCGAATTTAGCGACGGTTTCAGTTCAATTCTCCCAAATTCACTTTCAGTTTTCCACGCTAATATTAGATCTATTAATAAAAATTTTGAGGAATTCAATACAGTACTTCACTCATTAGGTAATTTTAAAATCATTGGTTTATCTGAAATTTGGCAAGTGGAAAATCACAGTTTATTTGAACTGAATGGATATTCGTTTGAATACGACCGTCGTGAATCCGGCAGGAGTGGCGGTGTTGCTGCTTATATTCACTCTTCATTAAATTACACAATTATTGATCACACTGTGATTAATTCTGAGTCTCTTTGGTTGGATGTGTCAGATAAAAAAATCATTTTATTGTAGGTATTATTTTTAGAAAATATAATTCTAATCTATCTGAGTTTTATAATAGTCTTCTTGATATATTGAGCTCGAAAAATATTGATAAAAAACGTTGTATCCTGATTGGTGATTTTAATTTTAATCTTTTAGAAACATTAAGTACTGAATGCGATTCATTTATGTCAAATCTAGCATGCCTTAATATTAATCAACTAATCACCACTCCAACAAGGTACACTGGGCATTCTGAGACATTACTAGATCATATTTACACTAATATTCATAACGCTTCTGTCCATCACGGTACTATAATTTGTGAAATTTCCGACCATCTTCCAACGTTTGCTATTTTTGAACACATCAACATCAGTACGAAAAATAAGTTTGTTTCATTTCGAGACTACAGTCATTTTAACCATGAATTGTTTTTACATGATTTATCAAATATTTCATTGGAAAATGTATATTCTACGCTTGATGTTGATGTAGTTTACGATTATTTCTGTTCAACTTTTATTAATATTTGTAATTCACATGCGCCCCTTGTTCAACGCTCTTTAAAAGGTTTTATAAAAAAGAAACCATGGATTAGTAAAGCAATAAAAAAAATCAATTATTAAAAAACATAAATTATACTCTAAAGTTGTTAAATCAAATTTTGAGCCTTCAAAATTCACACAATATAAAAAATATAGAAATATGTTAACACTAATTATACGATTGGCAAAAAAGAACTACTTTTCTAAACTATTTACAAAAAATAAAAACAACTCTACTAAAACATGGTCTAACATAAATGAGCTACTTGGGCGTAACATCACAATATATGATATACCAAACAAAATTTCCATTAAAAGAAATGACAATTGCATAGAAGACGTTACTGATAAGAATGAAATAGTGAATGAATTTAATTATTACTTTACAAATATAGGTTCAAATCTAGCTAACAAAATAAGAAATTCACCGAAACATTTTTCAAATTACTTAAGTCAACCTAATTTAAATTAATTTTTTCTTGAACCAATTTCTGTGTATGAAATTAGTAATATGATCTCTAATTTGGATAAGGGTAAAGCAACTGGCTCAGACAATGTACCAGCTAAATTACTTTGTGTTGCAGCACCCTATATCTCAATACCATTATGTTATGTTTTTAACCTTTCATTTACAAATTCAAAGTTCCCGAACGCCCTAAAGATTGCACTTGTAGTTCCTGTATTTAAAAAAGACCCAAAGGATAACATAGGGAACTACCGCCCGATTTCTATATTACCGGTATTATCCAAAGTTCTTGAAAAATTATTTAATGATCGTCTAACTAATTTCCTTGAAAAAGTTAATATATTTTATAAGCATCAATACGGGTTTCGCAAAAAATACAGCACAAAATTATCGTTAATTAATTTAGTTAATAATCTTTTATTTCAATGTGATAATTCAAAAGTGGCCCTTGGTATTTTTGTTGACTTTAAGAAAGCATTTGACACAATTAATCATGATATTTTAATTTCAAAGTTACAGCATTACGGGGTAAGGGGACCACCTCCATTTTGGATTTCTGATTATCTCAGCAACAGGTTTCAGTTTGTTTCCTCTGGTGGGTGTGTCTCAAATAAATTACATATGCATTGTGGTGTTCCTCAGGGTCAGTACTGGGAGTAGTTATGTTTTTAATTTATATAAATGATTTACCAAGCTCTTTAAATTTTTTTGATTTCAGGTTGTTTGCCGACGATACAACTTATTTAAATCATTTTCCGGGAATATATTAGATCTCAATGAGGTTAATTGTCAGTTTAAAAAAAGTCATTGAGTGGTGCAACGCCAATAAATTAACAATAAATGCCGATAAAATTAATTATATAATCTTTCATTCAAAAAATAAAGTTGTTACAACGTTCGGCTCCATTAGGATTAATACAAGCTTAATTTCTGAATGTAAGTCTGTTTATTTTGTTGGCGTTAAACTCGATAAATACCTTAGTTTCAAAGAACATATATCTGACTTAAACAATAAAATAAAAAAGAGAGCTGGTTTTTTGTTTAAGTTACGGTACTGTGTCCCTGAGGAAACATTGGTTATGCTTTACAATTCTTTTATTTTACCCAACTTGATTTTTGGTATTGAGGTATGGGGCAGCACCCGGCCTACGAATCGCACTTAAAACCTTTATTACGCACTCAAAAAATGTGTGCCAGATGTATTACTTTTTCTAAATTTAGGGCTCATTCTGTACCTTTATTTAAAAAACTTAACATTTTAGACGTATTTAAGCTTCATAAATTATATATTTTGAATTTTATATCAGACTTATTTAATAACAGATTACCACATAGTTTATCCGATTATTTTGAAAATATTTGTCATAGTTATGCAACAAGGTTTAATTACGAATATAATTTAGCCATATCAAAATGCTGAACTAATTTAGGTAAATTTAGAATTTCTTATATGGGTGCTAAACCCTGGAATACAATACCTGTTAAGTTAAGAGAGACTACCTTGAGGAATTTATTTGTTTCAAAACTGAAAAAATTACTTTATTCAGAGTATGAAGATTGATGCCTATTTATTTATTTTCATTATTTTATTTATATATTTATTTTATTCTATTTTATTTATTGGGGCTGAGGGGGATAGTTAAGAAAGGGGCCAAGCTCGATTAGACTTGTCTATTTCTAGGCTCCTATTGTATACCATTTGTTTGTTTTTTTTTGCGTATACAATAAAGAAGAAGAGAATTTTAAACTTTATTACCAAAGCATGAAACTTGGCACAAAATATCTTCAATATGTGTGAATTTAAAAACAAATGTGTGCCAAGTTTCTGACGCCTGCTATGGCCGCCATTTTGAATTTAAAATGACCGCCTCTAAAAACGGGATCCATATATCTTGGCAATGGAAATTCGTAGACTTAGTTCTTGGTCTTGGTCTCGAATTGTTGAGAACATACATGTTGCTTTTTGTTCTAATGTAGCATTTTGTCCAAAAGTGATCGGAAATGCCATTTTTGACCTTTGAGCCTACATGAACCGGCATATCCATATCTCCAAAACTATTAGTCATAGAGACCTAGTTTCGGCTTCAAAATGTTCCGAAGATGCATGTTTCTATTTGCTCTAATGTAAAATTTTGCCCAAAAGTGACCAGAAAAACATTTCTGACCTTTGACCTTAGATATCCAGCATCATCCATATCTCAAAAAACGGTTGGCCACAGAGACTTAATTTTGACCTCAAATGTTTCAGAACATACATATTCCTATTATGCAACATGTAGTCCTAAAGTGACCGGAAATGAAGTTTATAAACTTTGACCTTAGGTACCTTGTATGATATTTAAATCTCCTTAACCGTTGGTCATAGAGACCTAAGTTTAGCCTTAATTTGTTCGGAATTATATATCTGTATTTGCACTAATACAACATTTTTTCTAAAAGTGACCGGAAATGACATTTTTGACCATATATATATATATATATATATATATATATATATATATATAGCACATCTTCTAGCTTAGTAGATTTGAAATTGGTGCCTAATATTAAAAAGCCTAAATCAGTGATAGTATGGCTCGGTAAGTTAAAGTGATTTTTGTCGCCATTTTTTCTTTGTCGGCCATATTGGATATGAAGTCAACTTTTGGGTTGCCTTAAAGTTAACTTCAATTGTACATGTTTCAGGAAAAATCCACTTAAAAACGTTAACAGGGAAAAATAATAAGTAGAATTTACCTATTTAAGTTAATTCTGTGGCCATTTTGGATTTTGGCGGCCATCTTGGATTTAAGACCAAATTCTGGGTGGCCCTCGATTGACCGTGAAAGGTTTATGTTCCAGATGACAAATCCCCTGAAAAACATCGACATTTGGAACCAATAAATAAGCTGCAAATCTGGAATTATTGTATTTTTTGCAGCCATTTTGAATTTTGGTGGCCATTTTAGATTGAGGCCAATTTCTGGGTGGCCCTCGATTGATCTTGAATGGTTTATGTACCAGGTGAAAAATCAACTGAAAAAAACACTGACATAACCAAATAATATGCTACATTTCTCTAATAATTGTGATTTTCGGTGGCCATTTTGGATTTTGGCGACCATCTTGGAT